CGTCTCCCTTCCGTTCCTGACCATCCGTCTCCCTTCCGTTCCTGACCATCCGTCTCCCTTCCGTTCCTGACCATCCGTCTCCCTTCCGTTCCTGACCATCCGTCCCCCTTCCGTTCCTGACCATCCGTCTCCCTTCCGTTCCTGACCATCCGTCTCCCTTCCGTTCCTTACCATCCGTCTCCCTTCTGTTCCTGACCATCCGTCTCCCTTCCGTTCCTGACCATCCGTCTCCCTTCCGTTCCTGACCATCCGTCTCCCTTCCGTTCCTGACCATCCGTCTCCCTTCCGTTCCTTACCATCCGTCCCCCTTCCGTTCCTGACCATCCGTCTCCCTTCTGTTCCCGTCTCCCTTCCGTTCCTTACCATCCGTCCCCCTTCCATTCCTGACCATCACTATTTGATAGTGATTCGTAAACAAATGTTCATGAAAAAGTCGGAATCTGACAATTTACTCTGCTAATAGTATAGATTTATGATAAACTTGGAAATTTGATTTTCTGTTATATATTCCGGGTCCTGTACTTTGCAGCGATATTAATTTTACAACTACAGTAGGCAGAAACACCGCCATGTGGAATGATAGGCCAATACAGCCCATGCAAGTCCAGAATGTTTGGCAAGTCTAGATTACTGCAGAAAATGAAGAGAGTCTCTGGGCTTCTTTTTCTTATAATTTTATAAGGACAATTTAACAACTGTTTCTTCTGTAAGATATTTTAATTTCAGAGACAAGATGTCAGTCTAGTGGAATGAGTGAATGAGTGAACTGGGTTTGATGCCGCTTTGAAGAAAAAGCTCATTTATATTTAAATTCATGACGTGTCAGCTATGTTTTTGGGAGGAGGGTGTGGTGCAATGCAGGGGGATGTTGCAGAGCAAGGGGGGGGGGGGGGGGGGGGGGGGGTTGCCCAGAAGGGATACTGGAATGTGTCCCCCTGAGGCTGAGATATCAACTAACAATTCCAATGGCCATGACATGTTTGAATCCGATCTGATCATGTCTATTGATCTTTCCTTAATGGTGTCACCGAAACTGTGGTCCAACGGTTTGACGTGGGTCTCATCTAATCTTTCAATAGACTGTAAAAATCATTTGATTAATACTTGTTTAATCAACAATAACCTTCTCAACAATTTATCAATTTCATCTTTTAACCTACCAGAATGTAATTTCGTCAAAATTGCATTAGCTTCTATACAAAACCTGACACTGACTGAGACTTTCATACGCTATCTTTTCACCAGAGTAATGCGTCTTACAAACGGAAATCCTAACTCTCAATCATAATTCTGTGACAAATTCACTGAAATTATTTTACAAAATAAAATCATGTAAAGGAGACATGCAATCAATTAAAGACCAACGTATGAATATTACGATAAACACACTTGTAAACTGACAGAAGAACCTGGTGAATGTCCGTATGATTGACGCAGATACTTCACAGGGACTAGCAAAGATGGCGTCTATTGAATCCGTCTAAATAATCTGCCACAGGAAAAGAGATTGGCAAAAATCTCCTCTCTAGAGAAGAAACGAAGTCCCCTAGATTCCTAAATCCAACGCCGTGATATTAAAAGTCACAGGCTGAGTGACTATAATCGAATGAATTAACAATTGGTGAAGTTCTCTCCGCGATTTCGTGACGTCATGGTCGGATTCTGTAATTTCACCGATTGAAATACATCCGGAATCCTTAATTCATTACCGAGCCACGATCATGATACCATCCTTGGCTTAAGCTCTAATCCTAGCCCGAAACGACAGACCTCTTTGGCGGAACGTAACAGCCTCCAGTGACGGTTAGTACTGATGGTTTCACGAGGGAGAGTTTTGCGCTTTGTGTGCAGGCATGTGTCGATGGGAGAATTGAAATGCCCAAAAAATAAATTAGAATATATATTTATTACTTTCTTTTGCCACTACATTAATCTTCATTTGTTACCATTTGACTTGGTTATGACTAGCAACGTTAAGCGATATTTCTTCCTACGTGTTTGCCTATGTATCGTACGTGTAAAATCTTACATCCGTAGATGAAACATTAAATGTTTTGGTTTTGGTTTGTTTGTCTGTTTTTTTATTTACGCCACACTAAGCAATATTCCAGCTATAAGACGGCGGTCTGTAAATAATCGAGTCTGGACCAGACAATCCAGTGATTGACATCATGAGCATCGATCTAGGCAATTGGGATGCGATGACATGCATGAACCAAGTCAGCGAGCCTGTCCACCCGATCCCGTTAGTCGCCTCTTACGGAAAGCATGGGTTGCTGAGGATCTATTCTCTACCCGGATCTTCATGATATTTCATAATATATTAAACTGATGTCAAAAGGTAGATGTTGTTTGTGTCACCCCTTATCAACCCTTTGTAAAGCAAGACTATTTCCTCTTCTACAGTCTTCAAGGAACAAATCTGAGACTTGGCTCTTTTCGCGAGGTCCCTGCGTGTGGAATGATCACAGTGGTGCGCATTAAAGACCAAGAAACCGTTTAAAGGACAACCGATTTCTTCGTCCCACGCCACGGCCATGACCTTCAATCTCATTGAGGCTAGCGAGATCATGTGCTTGAACCCGGAAGTGAATCGTAAGACACGCTGTGATTGGAGCACGTCTTATGACATCCGTCGTACAAGGCTGTCTCATTCATCTCAGTATTACAGACGCAAGTCACGTCTGTGACATTAACGTTGCCCCTGGTCTAATGAATGAAATGTCGAGATTCATTCACAAGCACTTAAGTACAACACGCCCACATCAACAAGGCTTCTTTTTTCCAACCATTAGCGTTGTCACATATATAATCGTAGCGTGTTCAGCAAGAAGGCAACCAGGAACATCCATTCAATGACCATGTATAACTACCAACGCTACCTCGAAAATGTCAACTTGTTTCGCATTCTGTTATGAGTCAATGAGGTGACATTATTTGCGGGGGTAGTGGTAAGATCCACTACAGCCCAACCCAATTAGGTTAAATATATCCTCTGTCGGGCCCTGCTATAAAGATATAGAGCCCAAATCGAGATAGCTCGTGGCACGAATTGAAGATGCACTTTGGCGATCGATTACTGTCAGTTGTTTGATCGACATACGAGGTGTGGATCCTACCGACGTGCACCTAGTGACCTTTCCACAAGAACGCTATTAGCAGTTGAGTGTGAACTACGTCGGAAGCTTTGAGGGATGACATTTGAAAATAATATCAAGACCATATTTTTCACACAGCATTAGTTCGACGGTTTAATTCACTAGAAGATTTCCGATGACGCGATATCAAAGTGTATTTGCGCACTGATCACAGGAAGATGACGACGTTTACAAACGTTGCAAATACGCCATGAAGCTCAGGCGTCAGTGGTAAATACGTCATTACATACGTCACGAATTCTTGTAAACAAGCAACTAAAGTTTGATGCCGGGTTAATATTTTGGTAAATCGATATTATTTATTAATTCGATCTGATCAAAAAAAGCTTAATCAAAGATGGCCTTAATAAGCCTTATAACATGTCTGGGCTACTCGAGTGATATCTTCAAAGGGAAAAAACGTAACGAGAAACATCGACAAGGTGTTATTTGCTGCAGTATAATCTTTTACGCTATTTAAAGAGTGTTTGAGCGACTGACTCATATTGGAACTTTTAATGGAAATATTGATGCAGACCATCATCTTTACCCCTTAGCCGTTGATGGATCAGTTGGGCGTGGGTTCGAATCACACATTCGCTATAATTATGACCATGATTTCTCTCCACTATATGATCTTGGGTTTCACTTTGGGCTTTCGATGTCAAAAATAAGCTAATTCTAACATGAAGGTAGGGGCATTAATGTTACACTGTTCAAGGTTGCGTAAAACCAACTCAGTCACTTTCATCAATGCACTGGGTCGGTAATAATGTGTTGAAGCTGTTTTGAGTTGGTAACGTTTCTGACTCAAGAAAAAAACGTGAAGATGACGGAATGCCCTGTAGAAAACCATCTGTTGACACATACGAGATATAAAGGCTTATTGTCGTCAGTTACGCATTTTAGATGGGTCGTCGAGAAATAAGTATTGTTCTATAGATTATACATAAAGTTCAGTTGCAAGAAACGTCCAAATTTAAAAGAAATTAAGTCGTAACAATGAGTCGTTAATGGGAAAAAAGTGTACATGGGGATAATCGATCATTCACCCATATAGATTCTATTGGGTGTAAAAGGTAAGAGAGTGATAAAAATTATAGGAATAATAATTATTGAAAATCAGTGATGACACCAGGTGTTTGCGAAAAGGATTAGCACCAGCTGCTCTGAAATCATTGCGCAAAAATGACGTCATAAAGAATATTCCCATGCCGATTCCGTAGAACAATAGATGCCCCTTACCCCATGCTTGTCGGAAGACCCAAATAAAAAGGATTGGGTGCCCATTCTTGGTGATTTGGGTGTGAAATCGTGTCCCGTTAGCTAGACCGCCGTCATATAGCTGATAGCCTCGTTAAACAACAAACATCAGTCCCTAAATAATGCAGTCTGGACCAGACAAACCAGTGATTAAATGCTCAAGCTTTATGACGGCAGTCTGTAAATAATCAAGTCTAGACCAGACAATCCAGTGATTGATATCATGAGCATCGATCCACGCAATTGGTATACGATGACATGCATCAACCAAGTCACGGCAAGCATAGTCCCCTCACCAACAAGCATGGGTAGCTGATGGCCTACTCTCACCCGAATCTTCAGGGGTGAGGGACAGCTGGGATATTGCTGTTTGCAATGTTAAACAACATTCCCTCACTCAAAAACAATAATTCCTTTAACATAGTTAGCATATGTGTGTGAACATTCACCTGTGTTTATGGGCGTTATATTTTTAACCACTTTAATACTTTAGATGTCTATAAGCAAAACCTTGGTCTGGTAAATATATATATAGTGACTCTTTAGAGGATATGAGAACATCATACAATTTATTTTGTACAAAATACAACAAACAGTTAATTTTCGGTAAATGTTTATTTAATAAAGCATATTTGTGTTCATAAAAATACCAGCTCTGAGTATTGTACAATGTAATAAAGAGGTGGAAAGAGGCACAGGGGTCCCTTCCAAGTCCTGCCAGTGCAAGCGCACCCATGTACACACACTACATATGTCAATGCATGTGCATACAAGCACGTACACTACATGTTAATGCATCTACACACACTACATATGTCAATGCATGTTTATACACTCACATACATTACATATGTCAGTGCATGTACACACACACACACTCTCTCGTAGACATGTCAGTGTACATACACACACAATCTAGAAGACATGTCAGTGAATGTACACACACAATCTAGTAGATCTGTCAGTGAATGTACACACACAATCCAGTAGACATGTCAGTGAATGTACACACACATACTAGTAGATCTGTCAGTGAATGTACACACAATCTAGTAGACATGTCAGTGACTTTAGACACACAATCTAGTAGATCTGTCAGTGTACGTACACACACAATCTAGTAGATATGTCAGTGAATGTACACACACAATCTAGTTGATCTGTCAGTGAATCTACACACAATCTAGTAGATATGTCAGTGAATGTACACACACAATCTAGTAGATCGGTCAATGAATGTACACACAATCTAGTAGATATGTCAGTGAATGTACACACACAATCTAGTAGATCTGTCAGTGAATGTACACACACAATCTAGTAGATCGGTCAATGAATGTACACACACAATCTAGCAAATCTGTCAGTGTATGTACACACACAATCTAGTAGATATGTCAGTGAACGACACACAAAATCTAGCAAATCTGTCAGTGTACGTACACACAATCTAGTAGATCTGTCGGTGAATGTACACACAAAATCTAGTAGATCTGTCAGTGGGTGTACAATAAAAGCTTTCCATACTCATAAGATCTAGTAGATGTTGCTCCAAGGGATTTGTTAGCACATGAACACACACACACTAGCCGAGCTGATGACAGTTAGAAATGAGCGATAGTAATAAGTGTAAAGCAAGATAACTGTAAAAGATGCTACAGTAACACCAATATAAGTGCTACAAACAGAGTACCATGAACCACTGTCGGAACGCCAACCGTAACCATAGTAATAGGACAGATAACCTCATTGACATGTTCCCATTTCCAATGGTTCAGAACTGATCAAATCCAGAATACTGAAATGCCATGTCCCATGCTGGCCACATGGACAACTGACAGGAGTGATATAGGATTGCAACATCTCCACCGGCATGAACGTATAAAGCCCTCCCCAATCAAGGTGTTCCCCCTTCCAGCAGGGGAACTCTTGACAGTCATAGGTGAATACAGGTCAGGGTTGCGTTCTTTTAGTGTGCATATCAATGCAAATCATTATATACAAAGACATATACCGATAGATGTGTTGTCATATATACCATCTCTGATTCCTGGGCGAATAACTCTTATATATCACTTTGCTTGAGGACATACATGATTGTACATATTGGACTGGCAGAATTGTAAATGCTTCTTTACAAAAATGTTTTAGGCCTGACCAACATTGTTCTTGTCTTACACATGAGGACATGCTAATTTCTGAAAAGTAAAACAAAATTAAAATGCTATTTGATTTGCTTTCTAATACATATTATTGTGTTTTATTAAAATTTACACAGGCTTCAGAAGGATGTGATTGGTGATAGCAACAGTGATCAGGTGAATTATCACAAGGGAGTGAGTTGGGTAACCACTGTGTTGCATTTAGTGTAGACAGCACTGATAGCTTAATGTGGGACAAAGGACAAAAGTTCTTGGACTTTTACTTACTCATGTCACCAACGAGTATTGTTATGATCTGGGAGACCTTAGTTGGTGCTTGCGCCTAGCACTACCCGGCATGGATGACTACAAAACTCACCTCTGCCGAGTGAAATACAGCACATCTACAACACACCTACAGAGAACATCTTGCATAATTTCAGCTTGTTTTATTTATCAGCTAACATAAAAAAAAATCACAAATGTTGAATTTGATATTTTGTCTGTGAATAAGTTTCAGCAATAAAAAGACTTCTCCAAAGAAGACCGACATGGACAGGGATGTAAATCTTTGATTTAAAAAAAAATACAGCTTGTTCTTTCAAAACACCAAACATACTCCGAAGTATATTTTTTGACTCCTCTAGGAATAAAGTTTATTAGTCTGCCTTCTCTTTTTGTATGGCATAGAGATATTATTTTGCCTTCTCATTTTCAGTGGCATCAAGATATTCTTTTGGCTCCTCTTTCTTGGCATATTAACAAAGAGAATCTTTAAAACAAGAAATATGTTGGCAAGTTCTTATAAAGCGAAGAAACTATTTTACCTGTCATTCAAGAAAGCCCCACTGATATACATATATTTTTTATTTCAACCACACTTTTAACTGATTTTTTTTTATAAATAAATATTTGTTATCAATTAATTTCTTTTGACAACGAATACAAATTTGAAATAGAAATGTATCTGAAATCCTAGGTATCACCAAAAATATTCTTTGCTGAAGAACTTGAGCCACAACATGAGCAATACTTGGTAGCACTGGACTGTTAGGGAGAGGAATGAGTGAATGAATATTGTTTTAATCCCGTCATCACTATGTCAGCATTATCACAGCAGATCAGCGATCCACAGCATGATCAACAGCCCACACAGTCAGGGTGACAGGTCCCACAATGTGACAACCTAATCCTCAATGAACCAAGTCACACACCATAACCAACCAATCCTTGATGCACACAATGAACCAAGTCAAACACACTGATGACCCAATCCTCAATTCACACAACGAACCAAGTCGAACATACTGATCACCCAATACTTGATGCACATAATGAACCAAGTCATACACAGTGATCACCCAATCCTCAACTCTCACAATGAACTAAGTCAAACACACTGATCACCCAATCCTCAACTCTCACAATGAACCAAGTAAAACACACTGATCACCCAATCCTTGATTCACACAATGAACTAAGTCAAACACACTTATCACCCAATCCTCAACTCTTACAATGAACCAAGTCAAACACACTGATCACCCAATCCTTGATTCACACAATGAACTAAGTCAAACACACTTATCACCCAATCCTCAACTCTCACAATGAACTAAGTAAAACACACTGATCACCCAATCCTCAACTCTCACAATGAACTAAGTCAAACACACTGATCACCCAATCCTTGATTCACACAATGAACTAAGTCAAACACACTTATCACCCAATCCTCGACTCTTACAATGAACCAAGTCAAACACACTGATCACCCAATCCTCAACTCTCACAATGAACTAAGTCAAACACACTGATCACCCAATCCTTGATTCACACAATAAACTAAGTCAAACACACTGATCACCCAATCCTTGATTCACACAATGAACTAAGTCAAACACACTGATCACCCAATCCTTGATTCACACAATGAACTAAGTCAAACACACTTATCACCCAATCCTCAACTCTTACAATGAACCAAGTCAAACACACTGATCACCCAATCCTCAACTCTCACAATGAACTAAGTCAAACACACTGATCACCCAATCCTTGATTCACACAATAAACTAAGTCAAACACACTGATCACCCAATCCTTGATTCACACAATGAACTTAGTCAAACACACTGATCACCCAATCCTCAACCCTCACAATGAACCAAGTCATACACACTGATCACCCAATCCTTGATTCACACAATGAACGAAGTCAAACACACTGCTCACCCAATCCTTGACCCTCACAATGAACCAAGTCATACACACTGATCACCCAATCCTTGATTCACACAATGAAGGAAGTCAAACACACTGATCACCCAATCCTTGATTCCAGCAGTCAAGTCACACACTGTGACCACCCAATTATCATTTCATCAGCTCTTGTAGCCATGCCGGAACCAATGCTGCCCAGGAAGGAGGGAGGCATGTAACAGATCACTAGTAATACATACCGCACACCAGGAAGGAGGGAGGCATGTAACAGATCACTAGTAATACATACCGCACACCAGGAAGGAGGGAGGCATGTAACAGATCACTAGTAATACATACCGCACACCAGGAAGGAGGGAGGCATGTAACAGATCACTAGTAATACATTCCGCACACCAGGAAGGAGGGAGGCATGTAACAGATCACTAGTAATACATACCGCACACCAGGAAGGAGGGAGGCATGTAACATATCACTAGTAATACATACCGCACACCAGGAAGGAGGGAGGCATGTAACAGATCACTAGTAATACATACCGCACACCAGGAAGGAGGGAGGCATGTAACAGATCACTAGTAATACATACCGCACACCAGGAAGGAGGGAGGCATGTAACAGATCACTAGTAATACATACCGCACACCAGGAAGGAGGGAGGCATGTAACAGATCACTAGTAATACATACCGCACACCAGGAAGGAGGGAGGCATGTAACAGATCACTAGTAATACATTCCGCACACCAGGAAGGAGGGAGGCATGTAACAGATCACTAGTAATACATACCGCACACCAGGAAGGAGGGAGGCATGTAACATATCACTAGTAATACATACCGCACACCAGGAAGGAGGGAGGCATGTAACAGATCACTAGTAATACATACCGCACACCAGGAAGGAGGGAGGCATGTAACAGATCACTAGTAATACATTCCGCACACCAGGAAGGAGGGAGGCATGTAACAGATCACTAGTAATACATTCCGCACACCAGGAAGGAGGGAGGCATGTAACATATCACTAGTAATACATACCGCACACCAGGAAGGAGGGAGGCATGTAACAGATCACTAGTAATACATACCGCACACCAGGAAGGAGGGAGGCATGTAACAGATCACTAGTAATACATACCGCACACCAGGAAGGAGGGAGGCATGTAACATATCACTAGTAATACATACCGCACACCAGGAAGGAGGGAGGCATGTAACAGATCACTAGTAATACACACCGCACACCAGACCAACCTGCAGTTGAATATGGGATACCTTATCTTTATTATCTGTCTTGATGTAGATAAGACATTTTATGCTCTCTATAAGATAATAAGACATTCACATTCTGCTTTTTGTGTTTATTAGCCATAAACATAAAACCAGAAAATGACATGATATATTTTATCATAAGTATATTATTTACAAGAAGAAAATAAATAAATAATTCAAAAAAATGTCGGTGACATAAAGGCAAGATCAATCTTTTTTTCTTATTTCTGATTTATGGTTATTTACAAAGATTTTTTTAAGAATCTGATTATATTTCAATGTCTGTAAATTGGAAGCTAACTTGGTATTTTTTCTGGAAAGCTCTGTTTAAAAAAAATAATAACATGTAGATCTCTTTTGTAAGCATGCTTATTCACAGAGGGTCTTACATATTTTCAATTATTATTCTAGGGTAGGTTCATCTGCAATTTGCTGTGCTTGCTTAAAAGTCCCTTGGTCATGCCAGGATCCACTAGTTGTGGGTTCGAAACAGATTATGATCCTTGGTCTGTCAACACAGATGCACATCTAAAATCTGCTTCAATTTGGGGTCACATTAAACTTACATACTGCAGTGGTAATATTGCTGAAAAACTGATTGTAGTGGCATAGACCCAACTCACTCACTCACTCACTCCCCTGTAAATTTAGAAAATAAATTAGCCTGGTGTGAAACAAGTTCTGACAATGAACAAGAATTGTTTTGTTCTTTAATTCAAACTGATCTTAGTAGTCATACACAAATCAGACATTTGTCATGCTATAATGTTGTGTTTGTTCAAATGTACAGACAAACACAAACTGACCGGAATAATGTAAATAATTGTGGCATCCATGTAGCATGTCATCTGGATGAAAACTGCTGTTTGTCGGGTAACTGTTGTTTGTCATGTAGCTATTGTTTGTCATCCAACTGCTGTTTGTCATGAAACTGTTGCTTGTTGTGTAACTGATATTTGTGATGAAATTGTTGATTGTCCTGAAATTGATGTTTGTCATGATACTGTTGTTTGTCACAATACTATTGTTTGTCACGATACTGTTGTTGGTAAAGAAGTTGTTACACAGTTGTATATAAGTGGTTCCAAATAGTATCCTCAATGATAAGTGGAAACATCTCTATAGTGGACGATTTGTGATTGTCACAAATGATCATACAGAAATATAAAAACATGTTTACTCAAAAATTATAAAGAGGTAGCAAATATAAAGTTTCTCAACCATGCCACAAATTCTTTTGTAATATCTTAAACAAAACAAAAATGAGCAGATATCCTTAACAATAACCTTTATCTCTTGTTTTCTTGCACATATTCTTTACTATTTCAGCCATATTATGACTTCAACTTACATGACCTTGACCTTGATCGATGTATTTAATAACGAATCAGTCTGACCCTCAACATCAGACCATAATATGCAAGAAACATTCCCTGTGGTTCTACAGAAGGATCAGAAAGTCCCTGAAGTGTGCATATGGAGCTTACGGACGAGAAATGAGGCGATAGTCAAGTCCAGACAAACACATTAAGCAGTCCCTTTTTGAAAGAGGGTCGATTATTAACTTAGACATGTGTTAATGGAGGACTTGACTGAATGCCATCCTTCGAGCATCCACTACGGCATTGTTTACCTCACAATAACAGGTTGTTGGTAATGGAACAGTTTCGCATGCAACTGTTCCTTAGATAGAAATGTCCTTTGCCATAGAACTGATTGTCATGAAACTGCTATTTGTCACACAACTGTTCGTCACAAAACTGCTACTTGTCATACTACCGTTTGTCACAAAACTGTTTGTCATGCTGTTGATTGTCATGAGAATAACCACAAAAAAAAAACACAAAGCATTTGAATATTTCACACTTAAAAGACATTATCTTAAGTTTGTTAGCCATCAACTATTAACAACAGTATCTGTATTAACAACGTTTATCAATGCAGCCCAACATGGATCAGTAATTATTGGAATGAATCAAAACTCTGTTGTTAGTGAAAAGCATCAATGGAAAATCCAAAGAGGTTACAAATGATACACACATGTACATATTCAGCATTGATAATACATACAAATAATGCAAACAAAGGTTTAAAAAACGTCACAGACGCTTGGATTTGTAGTCTCCAATTAAAACCTGTTCTTGTTCTACATGCTCAGCTTATGCAATGGAATGTTAACACAGACTGGTAAAAATTCTTAAATGCAAAAGTGGACAAATACCTCACACAAACAAGTCATGGTGTTTCTCCAATTTAGACCACATATATCATGGTTACTTACTATGACAAATACATTGACAAAGCAACAAGCATAAGCACCGTCAGTAACCATGGTAACATTTGGCTGACAGTCTCACAGAGGTTCATAATAGAACAAATAAATTTCTCTGGCAAGCTTAGATCATCTGATATATAAGAATTGCTGACAGAATCACGAGGAAATGCAGAACACAGATCAGATAAGTCTAGACATTTTTAGATGCCGAAAACACAAATGAGTTCTCCAAAATGTTATTATCATAACATTATATTTAACCTAATGCATTGATAAATTGGATTATATCTTTTCACTAATCAAACTTGGTATATATCCTCATTTAACATTCACCTTTGGTCTCCCTCCTTGAGTATGTACATAACGCCTTAACGTCGAGCTAAAGGACTACACATCAGTGAAGCATGATATAAAACTCAAGTTAACACAATATCCTTCGTTCTGAATAATACCGATAGTTTACCTAATTGTTTAATTTTTGTGCACATCAGATGGTTTACAAATTGGTACTGCTACACAATCTAACAATAAAACTTCCCAGTCCATCTGGCCTTACATTGGAGAAGTATCAAATAACAAACATTTAAATACATGGTTGGGATGCAACAGAAAACATATAGAGCAGGAAATGCGTACTTTGCCAAAACACCTGGTGTCATCACTCATTCTCATTGATCGATAGATAGAACTTTCACAGCTATTTCGCCTTTTACGCCAAATGGAATCTGTTTTAGGAGATAATTGAGACTGGTTATTCCTCAGTGTAGGCATTATATAATTAATTATCTGGCATCTTTTTGTTTGTATATATGTTAACCTTTATTTCATAAGAGATTAAACTGTGTCATTTCATTCATTTGGACTTCCGCCTGACTTGTTCTTAATGTAACAAATGTTATATTTGGGATAACACTTTCTGAGTAAAGTACAGATTCTCGTACATTTTTGGGGTGAGTCCCGTCTGGGGTTCGAACCCACACTGCCAGAGTGCGGCACCTAATCGCGAGCACACCCCAAAAAGTACGAGAATCTATACTTTACTCAGAAACTGTTATCCCAAATATAACATTTGACCACTTTCTAAATGGCATTGTGTGTTCAGTATCTTTAATAGTTAATGTATCCAGACCTTAAAAGTCAGAATATCTTTTAAGGTTCATTTCAGAAGCTGTAGTATCAAGAAAGACAGCATCGATTTATTAACAATAAAGAATAAGAGGTTGAAATTGTTGTCAAGTCAATCTTCCCTCAAAATCAGGAATAATTAAAAATAAGTCCAGCTTAAAGATATTCTTAAAGCCAAGCTCAATAATCATTCTTATGAATAAAGATCATATCTTCTTACCTCCAAAAATGAAATAAAATAGTCTCATTTAATGTTATTTTGACCACAGACCAAGGTTTTGTAAAAGTGGCATACATGTATTCTGTGCAGGTGATAGATGACAAACAGAAAACAACACCATGTTGAGTGACAAACCTGTAGCAAGTGTGCTGGGTATCATGCAGAGTTAAAAACATTAGAAATGCAATATGAAATTAAAACCTCCATGTTACACTGCTGGTTGGTATTTGGTGTGTCCCTCCCACTTCCCAGTTATATGATGGGTTATAGATGAGACCTGGAAACATCGGTAGTGTTCCTTCGAGAGTCCAGCACAACAATCATCAGTAATGTTTCCATTGAAGTTGACTTACTGTATTACTTTCTGACAAGTCAATTTTACTAAGGCTAAAAAAAATAATAGTCTTGGTTCTCAGGCACCGTCAGCATCATCATAAAGCTCGCCGCACGTTTCGTTTTTATTTCCACTTTAAAAAAAAATAATCCTTAATTATTCCAAGTCCAACAGTAGTCAAATACTGTATTCCAGTATTTTTTACGTATCAAGGAATACATTTATGTAGGCAGGCCCTCTCCCAGGTTGATTGTACACAATTGTTTATTGATTACACAACTGTTTATTGGTTACATACTAGTTTGAACAACCAAAAGAAAAACAAAGACACTGCCCACACACACTATATTTTCAAAAAACATTGCCTGAGAACCAATTCTTTTATTTTTTGAAGCCTAAAGGCAGATAAATTTATATTGTTGTTTTGAGGATTAGTCTCCCTAAAAAGTAAAAAAAAACATGCTGCTTCATTGAAAATAGGCTGTTATAACATTTTACTGCCTGACAAATTTAAAATTTATTAAATTTTTCATGATCTTGGCGAGCTAAAACTGTAGAAATATGAACTGGTAAGGCCGAAGAAATGAAAAGGAACTAAGTATTGGACATGTCAATCAAAGAACTATTTTAAGATTTGAACACAATATTTAATGCTTTAACAGGGTTATTAAAAAATTAAACCCTATAATATGAGAATAAAAATGCATGGTTATCATACTCCAACCCAATGGTGCAATGCCTACACAAACAATCCTCATGACCACACGATAAAACACAGACAAAAATATTACCGGTATTTCCATCGAATGATTGTTGCTTAGAAATTATCATAAAAACAATTTATGTGAAACATCACGGCCTAGCAATCAACCATTATTTCAAAAGATGCATGGCCACAATACACATATACAGATTATAATTTCAACATTAATTTATTATGTATTTTTTTTAAAACAATCTATTTAAACATCTGTGTTCACTGGATTGTCCGGTCCAGACTCGATCATTGACAGACTGCCGTCATATAGCTGGAATATTGTGTGTGGCGTTAAACAACAAACAAACAAACAAACAAAACTGTCAATGGATGTGATTCCCATGATGCAGGAATGTTTGGTAGGACTGTCAATGGTGTATGTCATCATGTGCATGTCAAAAGGAACACCTAGCAATTTTCTACGTCTGTAGGTATTTTGGAACCAAAAACTGATTTGAGGCAGTTGTGTGGTCGTGAGGTAGCCAGGAATGAAATTAACAGTGAGTCACCACTTGCCCATTTCCGTAACCTGCAAGAAGACTCGTCCCCATATCAATGAATGTTATGTGCGAAAATACCACAAACCAATCATAATGCGCATATGACTTCAAGTACTTCGGTCAAAGAATCCTTCAGGAATAATTTTTTACTTTACAAATGTCTTGCATCTAAATATACACCCAACAAACAGTTAAATGTGGTCAATCATGTTGCACAATACAGTAAGTCCCAATGTGTTGAAGATGGCATCTGGAACATTTATAGGGAAAAATATACATGAATCATTAAGCAACGATTTGACAAATCTTTTAGCTATTTCCTCTTTCCTGTTTCCTCTTAGATGGAACCCAGTCGCTACAAATGTCCACGAGAGAGGCACGAGTCACTATTCAGCTTGTCCTAGAATAACACAAGTTGGTTACGAATGTAAACAGTGAATCTGTTTTGTCAAGAAAGTGTTGACGTGAGTGAGTGACGCTTCACCCAACTTTTCACAATTAATATTTTGCAATAATTCAGAACTGTGTCAGCAGTCAGACTTACAGACTTACGTTGCCTGGATATTTGGAGTTACATATTCAGCCACCAATCTTGAGGTGTAGAGTTTATACCAAATAGTTCACACTGAGGAGACCTGTTAACTTAAAGTGGTTGAATTTGTATAGTTGATATGACTATTTCATTAGGTCATCAGATGTTATTGGGCCTACCAAATATATCATCATTCACGTTTCAATGCTTATATATAATCTACAGAGCAACATCAATCTCATTAAAATACCGCTAAACAAAGATCTTAGGACATCCCATTATGGGTCACGTCACACCCACCTTTCGCGAACTTTGACCGACTAAGGGAATGACTGACAAGAAGTCGACATTAGCCAATCAGAAGGCAGCTCTCTCATGCCTTACGGCCCTAGTTTGAAACTGGCGACTACACTTCAAAAGAAATTTTGATAAATATCTTTATTAAAAATTTGAAACTAAACAAAAGAACATTCTCGAATGGCTAATAGATTCCCTAGATTGTATGGATTCAGTCATTAATCCCGTAACTGTTGTTCGGAAAACCCTGTGTTAAATGTTTCGAGGTTGCATGATTAGAAAACACATTCCGACTGTCACTTTCATGATCTGGTAAGCTATGCTCTGATTGGTCGGATGAAAGGTCGTTCTGACATGACCCGGAATGGGATGTTGTCCTCAGATCTTTGTTAATTAGATTGGAGCAACACTGGCCTGTTGCAGTTTTCCATGTGCTTGGATCACTGACCAAATGTGCAGTAACCTTACTCTCAATTCTTTCAAGATGATCTCATCTCTGCATTAATCTCGAGTCTGCATATTTGAAAAAGCTCATTCAGGAAATTCAAATTGTCCATCTGTTAAATGATCTAGTACATCATCTAGATCTACAGTGGCATTCAACAGAAGGGTCATGGCTCCATCTATAAATATTTATTTAAAACAATATGGCATTTCCAAAGTTTCTTTCAGTTCATATCATTGTTAGAAAACGTACATCTTTATTGATAACAACTTCTGGTTCATTGCATTAGTGACATTTCAATGTAGTTTCTTAAACCCTTCACCAGCTTTAGAACAGTGTAAGAATCTACATCGAAATGTCGCTAATGCAATAAACCAGAAGTTGTTATGCATAAAGAATCCTTTCTTATTTTCTCACCAACTTCTAGAATGCAAATCAAACAGTTAGATCATTGTTTATCTAAAACCTTGGTTTACAAGATCTAAGTATGCTCATAGAGAGTTTGATATATTGCTTCTGACATGTAATATATTACACTTCAGATACGTATCAAAAGTATTGCTAAGGGGAAACATCAAGTTTCTAGAAGATTTAATTTATTTTTCTTTCAATTATTGACATGACAAGAATAAAGAAAAAGACCAAAATGGAAAATGTACCAGAACAATTAATTCAAATGTGCACGTACAAACTACAGCAGAACATGTACGTCACATTACCAATTGATATTGAAGAACAATCTAAAATATAAAACAGGATGACAGTCATTGAATAAATAGGTATCAGATATGTACTTAATTCTTTGTGTAGCTTCAAACCAACCCTAACAAACTTACAAATTTTAACAAATTAAAGAAGTTCATCACTTTTTGCCCAATGGCCTGATCCCTCTTTGATCTCACTGGCGTCAGTTTGGGAAGCACCAGACATAATACCGGAATCCACAGGTTCATGGGTTTCAGGCTGTTCAATGATCACTTCAGAAGTTTGGGTTTCTGAAGAAGGTTCGAAGGTGACACATGTTCCACGTTTGGACTCGTAGCCACCTGGGCTTCTCGCCCTCATGTGGGTATAAGGGCCCTTTGACCTGATACGATGAGGATGATGATGACGAAAGTGGGAATGCCTTGGGTGAGTCTCCTGACCCTCGGTCAAGGGCTCGAGTTCATGCACCTCACTACTGATATGGTTTGGGTTGCTTGTACTTGAACTGGACAGTGTGGACTCGGACATAGCATACACCGTCTTGTCCACATGTTCTCGGGCAGACGGTGAACAACAGTCTGAAGCTGGCCAATGAAACTGACCAAACCCTCCCTGAGGTCCTATAGTTCGTAACAGAGACTGGAAGAAAAAAGTGGAATATATCCATGCAATGGTAATAAGTAACATTAAAAAAGTTCCAAACTTTTGATAGACTAAAACAGTGGAGGGCATCATGAACACACCGGCCAGGAATGTTGTCAATGCAGCCATAGCGACCGCACTTCCCATGCGACCAATTGAACAAGCGACTCTCATTTCTCGATCCAGGTCTGGCGAGAGTCTGTACGCTACTCCGTAATGTAGGGTAAAGTCAACAGACATCCCTATAGCTACAGTGATGACCACAGACTCAAGAATGTTAAGCTCCCATCCAAGTAGCACCAGTGATGCAACTGTAACGATGATTATACACGCAATTGTAATAATAGCATAGAAGCTGATCAAGACGTTCAATGTAGTGAAGAAAGCTACAATAGCTGCAAATGATAACGACACCCCAAGAGCTAGAGGTGTTCCTTTAGCTAGACTGTTCTGGAGGTCATAAAATTTTAAATTTGTCACAAACCAGCCATTTCTCATTTGAGCCGGGGCTTGCACCATTTCCTCTGTCACCCAGCGGTTCACTTTGAGATAAAACTGTTTCATTTTTTCGTAGGAATGGCTGTACGGTTCATTGCTAAGGAACTCCACCATGAAGGCACTGATACGTCCATTAGAGAATCGAGGTCCTGGGGAATGCTTATTGTAACGAACTGCTGGAGTTTTTTGGAGCAAAGGGACATAGCGTAAAAGACATTTTTTGAACTTATTCTTAGGAAAAGGGAAAGCTGTTTCATTGCAGCATGGTTTTTCATCTTGAGTACATGGCCGTTTCATGTATTCATTGGCAAAATTCTCCAAGAAGCAGTTGGTGAGTTGTAAGCCAGGAGAGTTGAGATAAAATTCAGATTTTCGAAACCGAGCACAAAATTCCAAAAGCCATCGCTGAGCACTCTCTTCAGCTAGGTCAAAGTCAGAGTCTAGAACGAGGGAACCTTTCTCATTGGGATTGAGTCTGTCTCCTGTGTCACTGGCATGAATCCCCCACACAATAGTAACAGGTAACACTGGGATGTCCTCTTCCTTCATCTTCTCAAAACTGAAGCTATCACTCAGCTGAAAATCATACTTCTCCAGCCAATGATTGGAAGAAAACACTTGGAATTTTCTCGTAGATGGCAGTTTCAATTTGGGGTAGTAAAAAATGACAATCACACCACAGATTCCCAGACCGCCATAAAGGACGAGCCACACATAGCGGAACTTAATCACAAGGCATGGGAGGAGCTTCTCAAAAAATATCCTTGACCAGTCTGTGAGGACATAGTACAATTTGTATGGAACTCGACACAAATAGTAGCAGAAATTGTTCTCTTCTGTATAAAATTCATGACTGGAGCATACACAAAAATTGCACCATTTTTCATAAAGCATGATTGTAGCTGGTATCCATGTGAGAGACAAGAAGAAGTTACAGATGACTGCTGTCCCAGCATATATACTAAAGCACTGAATGGCGGTGATGTCACTGATGTAGTTGGCATAAAATGATGCCGCTGTTGTCAGACTCGTCACCAGCATCGATAACGTTGCATGACGTAACGTGTCATTGACTATTTTTTCAAGAGTACCATTATTTTTTTCCGCCTTGGCAAGGTGCCAAACTTTGCAATAAATAAACACATCATCAGCACCAATACCTATCATGACTACAACAGTTACCATGTTCATATACGGGAAAAATTTGATTTCAAACACATGCATGTACAAGAAATAGGCAACCGTAAGGGCCCAAAACATAGCTAAAAAGGTCATCACGGTGATGAAAATTGATGCCGAATAAAGCCACATGGCAAGGAAGATTACACAACCAGCAGATGCCAACCAAATTGTATCTGATTTCAACATCTCTTGGAATAACTTGTACTTAAGATCGAATTTAGCTCCAACAATTTCCACACCATCAAAGGTCCTTGGCAATGATTCCATGTAATTGTATAGATCTAAGGAGCTTCCTGCTACTGGGAAAAATGTTACGGCATACGTCAAATGTGGTGAGGAATTAGCTGCAACATTTTGGATAAAATGGACGTCAAGAAGATGATGGAAGAGATGATACACTGCATTGTACCTTGTGCATTTGGATGGGACTCCGTGACACTCCTCCTGAGGATAGCTCGATGCTGTGTACCACGCTCCTTCAGAATACTCACAGTTAATTCCCATGGTGTAATTAATATAGTAGTTGGAACAAGACTTGAGCAATTTGAGGACATTGGACACATCCTTTTCCGTGATTGTATGGCAGCTTGATTTGTTGCTTAGCAACGCTATGTAGCTCCCTAAAGACCAGCTTCGACAACAGTTTTTCCCTGACTCAACGTGAATACACTGTTCGGTGAAGAGTGAATTTGATGACAGATATTGGGTCTCCATTTTGCACATGGCCTTGATATGATGAAGTGTGAACAGATTCGACCCATCTACTGCCTTGTACACGACTCTGGCATACTCCTTGTCTGAAAGAAATCAAGAGTGAGTGAGTGAGTTGGATTTAAAAGTATACAACTCAAAAGAAGATAAGGACCACCCACTTCTTTCATATTGCAATAGTTAATCTGTCATGCCATGTGGAAAATTAACAAAGTCCCTACAAAATATAATACATTTGCTCGCACTGTAGGGAAGAAAATAATGTGCCCTTTTCATGCAGACTATATTCAAGTGTCCTAAGAGTAGTTTCATTATTTTAATATATTAAAAAACATAATTGAGGATTTCACAGCTAAAAATGGGTAAAAATCCAATTTGACAGGGGTTATAGATATTTATCAGTTTGGTTAATCTGACGAACATAGGTATTGCATCGCCTGACTCTAGTAGATCCCACAATCAGTAGATCCTGGCACAGGGATATGAAGATGAGCCGTTAAATAGAAACAATCCTCAGGGTAGTCATGCGACTTTCACAAAACAAAAACGTTTACAATGATGTGCTGCCTTCTATCAACCAAATACAAGAGTGTTGCAGACATCGGCCCATGGTGGGTTTATATATAACTGTGGGCCAATCAGTCAACCAGTGATCAATGGGTAATAACCATGAGCCAATCAGTCAATCAGTGATCAATGGGTTATAACCATGAGTCAATCAGTCAAGCAGTGATCAATGGGTTATAACCATGAGCACATCACTCAAGCAGTGATCAATGGGTTATAACCATGAGCCAATCAGTCAACCAGTGATCAATGGGTTATAACCATGAGCCAATCAGTCAACCAGTGATCAATGGGTTATAACCATGAGCCAATCAGTCAACCAGTGATCAATGGGTTATAACCATGAGCCAATCAGTCAACCAGTGATCAGTGGGTTATAACCATGAGTCAATCAGTCAACCAGTGATCAATGGGTTATATTTGCTGGCCAATCAGTCAACCAGTGATCAATGGGTTATATCCATGAGCCAATCAGTCAACCAGTGATCAGTGGGTTATAACCATGAGCCAATCAGTCAACCAGTGATCAGTGGGTTATAACCATGAGTCAATCAGTCAACCAGTGATCAATGGGTTATAACCATGAGCAAATCAGTCAACCAGTGATCAATGGGTTATAACCATGTCAACCAGTCAAGCAGTGATCAATGGGTTATATATTTGCTGGCCAATCAGACAAGCAGTGATCAATGGACTATATCTGCGGGCCAATCAGTCAACTGGTGATCAATGGGTTTTATTTGCAGGCCAATCAACAGCAACACACATTATTACACATATACCCTGTATTATATCACACACATCAAGGATTACTATTCTACCAAACTATTATGTTGACAATTTCTTACTTCATCTAAATTACTACTTAATTACAACAAGTTGAAATATTTCAAATGATGTCATCTGAATTTAAATTCCTCTTCTGTGGCAGTTTATGTTTCAAACATTTGCATTGTGAAATTATTCCCAAAGACATTAAGGCAGAGCTTAAAGCATATCTTCCTTTTTCCTTAACCATATATAAAAATGAAATTCACTACTTGTTTCAGTTGGTTTGAATGAAACAACAAAAGAATAAAATTACAAGATAATAATAATAATAATAATAATAATAATAATAATAATAATAATAATAATAATAATAAAAAAGCCATACATGGAATTCCACAGAAAAACTTATCATCGGGGAGATCTTCAACATGAATCAGAGCTTCAGTCACATTGTCCAAATCATCTCTTCCTGTTTGCTTGCCAAATTTTTTTCCTTTTCGATTCTTTTTCTTATTTTTCCTTTTCCGACTTCTTTCAAGAACCTGATCATTGGCCTGGTAGTTGAAGGGGGTAAGACTAGCCTTGCCGCCGATGTTGTCGATGAGGTTGTCATAGGCAACGGTTCTCTCGCTGATCTCTGTCCCACGGGGTTCAAATCCCTGCAAATGGAATGGAACTGTTAGCTTTTTTTAATGCATACAATACATTTTATTCAGATGACAAATTGTCTTGGTCTTTGTGGGACCCGCTAGGCAATGGAAAATCGGTGAAGGCTGAAATAATCTTTTGTAAAATTTGATCTGTATGTACCCACCTATACTGGCTAAAATCAAACAAATAAAAAAAGAGTGAATGCCTGGAACTGAATTGTGAGGCAGGCAAAGAATGTACAGTTGTGTCCCTTAGAAATGCCAGGATCCTATGATTATAGGTTCAAATCCCATATTCACCCTGATTATGATCATGGTTTCTCAGTGCCATAACATGGTCATGCATCCCATCCAATGTGGGAAATGTCTAAGACCTGCATTATTGTAGCAGATATGCCATGATATAATTGAAATAGTGTAGAGTAAACCCAATGTGGGAAATGTCTTTGACCTGCATTATTGTAGCAGATATGCCATGATATAACTGAAATAGTGTAGAGTAAACCCAATGTGGGAAATGTCTAAGACCTGCATTATTGAAGCAGATATGCCATGATATAACTGAAATAGTGTAGAGTAAACCCAATGGGGGAAATGAACCATGACTGCATACAAGATGTTATCACTAGACTTCCCTGCCACCCTTCAAACAGAGGTGTAACCATTAGACTTCCCTGCCATCCTTCAAACAGAGCTGTGTTTCCATTAGGCTTCCCTGCCACCCTTCAAACAGAGCTGTTACCATTAGACTTCCCTGCCACCCTTCCAACAGAGCTGTTACCATTAGACTTCCCTGCCACCCTTCAAACAGAGCTGTTACCATTACACTTCCCTGCCACCCTTCAAACAGAGCTGTTACCATTAGACTTCCCTGCCATCCTTCAAACAGAGCTGTTACCATTACACTTCCCTGCCACCCTCCCACAGAGCTGTTACCATTAGACTTCCCGGCCACCCTTCCAACAGAGCTGTTACCATTACACTTCCCTGCCACCCTCCCACAGAGCTGTTACCATTAGACTTCCCTGCCACCCTTCAAACAGAGCTGTTACCATTACACTTCCCTGCAACCCTCCCACAGAGCTGTTACCATTACACTTCCCTGCAACCCTTCAAACAGAGCTGTTACCATTAGACTTCCCTGCCACCCTTCAAACAGAGCTGTTACCATAAGACTTCCCTGCAACCCTCCCACAGAGCTGTTACCATTAGACTTCCCTGCAACCCTTCAAACAGAGCTGTTACCATTAGACTTCCCTGCCACCCTTCAAACAGAGCTGTTACCATTAGGCTTCCCTGCAACCCTTCAAACAGAACTGTTACCATTACACTTCCCTGCCATCCTTCAAACAGAGCTGTTACCATTAGGCTTCCCTGCAACCCTTCAAACAGAGGTGTTTCCATTAGACTTCCGCACCACCCTTCAAACAGAGCTGTTACCATTAGACTTCCCTGCCACCCTTCAAACAGAGCTGTTACCATTAGTCTTCCCTGCCACCCTTCAAACAGAGCTGTTACCATTAGTCTTCCCTACCACCCTTCAAACAGAGCTGTTACCATTAGGCTTCCCTGCCACCCTTCAAACAGAGCTGTTACCATTACACTTCCCTGCCATCCTTCCAACAGAGCTGTTACCATTACACTTCCCTGCCACCCTTCAAACAGAGCTGTTACCATTACACTTCCCTGCCACCCTTCAAACAGAGGTGTGTTTCCATTAGACTTCCCTGCCACCCTTCAAACAGAGCTGTTACCATTACACTTCCCTGCCACCCTTCAAACAGAGCTGTTACCATTAGACTTCCCTGCCATCCTTCAAACAGAGCTGTTACCATTACACTTCCCTGCCACCCTCCCACAGAGCTGTTACCATTAGACTTCCCGGCCACCCTTCCAACAGAGCTGTTACCATTACACTTCCCTGCCACCCTCCCACAGAGCTGTTACCATTAGACTTCCCTGCCACCCTTCAAACAGAGCTGTTACCATTACACTTCCCTGCAACCCTCCCACAGAGCTGTTACCATTACACTTCCCTGCAACCCTTCAAACAGAGCTGTTACCATTAGACTTCCCTGCCACCCTTCAAACAGAGCTGTTACCATAAGACTTCCCTGCAACCCTCCCACAGAGCTGTTACCATTAGACTTCCCTGCAACCCTTCAAACAGAGCTGTTACCATTAGACTTCCCTGCCACCCTTCAAACAGAGCTGTTACCATTAGGCTTCCCTGCAACCCTTCAAACAGAACTGTTACCATTACACTTCCCTGCCATCCTTCAAACAGAGCTGTTACCATTAGGCTTCCCTGCAACCCTTCAAACAGAGGTGTTTCCATTAGACTTCCGCACCACCCTTCAAACAGAGCTGTTACCATTAGACTTCCCTGCCACCCTTCAAACAGAGCTGTTACCATTAGTCTTCCCTGCCACCCTTCAAACAGAGCTGTTACCATTAGTCTTCCCTACCACCCTTCAAACAGAGCTGTTACCATTAGGCTTCCCTGCCACCCTTCAAACAGAGCTGTTACCATTACACTTCCCTGCCATCCTTCCAACAGAGCTGTTACCATTACACTTCCCTGCCACCCTTCAAACAGAGCTGTTACCATTACACTTCCCTGCCACCCTTCAAACAGAGGTGTGTTTCCATTAGACTTCCCTGCCACCCTTCAAACAGAGCTGTTACCATTACACTTCCCTGCCATCCTTCCAACAGAGGTGTTACCATTACACTTCCCTGCCACCCTTCAAACAGAGCTGTTACCATTACACTTCCCTGCCACCCTTCAAACAGAGGTGTGTTTCCATTAGACTTCCCGGCCACCCTTTAAACAGAGCTGTTACCATTAGACTTCCCTGCAACCCTCCCTCAGAGCTGTTACCATTAGACTTTCCTGCAACCCTTCAAACAGAACTGTTACCATTACACTTCCCTGCCCCCCTTTTAAACAGAGCTGTTACCATTAGACTTCCCTGCCACCCTTCAAACAGAGCTGTTACCATTACACTTCCCTGCCACCCTCCCACAGAGCTGTTACCATTAGACTTCCCTGCCACCCTTCAAACAGAGCTGTTACCATTACACTTCCCTGCAACCCTCCCACAGAGCTGTTACCATTAGACTTCCCTGCCACCCTTCAAACAGAGCTGTTACCATTACACTTCCCTGCAACCCTTCAAACAGAGGTGTTACCATTACACTTCCCTGCCATCCTTCCAACAGAGGTGTAACCATTAGACTTCCCTGCCACCCTTCAAACAGAGGTGTAACCATTAGACTTCCCTGCCACCCTTCAAACAGAGCTGTTACCATTACACTTCCCTGCCACCCTTCAAACAGAGGTGTAACCATTAGACTTCCCTGCCACCCTTCAAACAGAGCTGTTACCATTACACTTCCCTGCCACCCTTCAAACAGAGGTGTAACCATTAGACTTCTGCACCACCCTTCAAACAGAGGTGTAGTCACTAGGCTTCCGCACCATCCTTCAACCAAAGAATCCAACTAGAGTCTGAATGTTGTTTAAGGTCACAGTCCGCACTATTTCAGCTGTTTCAGTGTTGCATAAATAACCAAGTGTGGTACACACAAACCAGTGATTGATATTGTGAGCAACATCAGTGTATGAAGACAAGCTATGAACCAAGTCACTGAGCCTGACCAACTGTAAGGTTTGTTGCCTCTTATGACCAGCACATTGTGGACCAATCCGAATCCCGAATCCCCACTGAGATCAAGCAGAAAAAGATGAAATGCAGCAGTGTTGATGAAACCAGTAACATGATCCATCACTTAATGCCAAAGAAAGTAACACCAGTATTATGCTGATCAAATATTGAATAACCATCAAACGTTTATCATGTTTATCTTACTGAAAACACATCCCAGAAAACAAACATGTTGTGTTCCCATTCTGGAAGAGAGCAAAATGTCAAACAATTTGTAGTATTTGCATGCTTAGGGGGTTCAAATTACAAGCGTAATTACAGGAAAATAATCAATTACATCATGCATCATTCCTTTCAGCAATCTATTTAATTTTCTGCAGAAAATTTGTGATTGCATATTACATTGGTTTATGAAAACAAATCCTCCACAGAATCATGAAGCATTGATTCTGTGCAATAAAGTGGGAAAAAATATAATTGGAACTGAAACGAGAAACTTAAAAACAAACGATCATTATGCATATTTGCATATCGGTTTCAGCAGCAATTAATCAAAAGTGTCCTAATCTCTAAAACAATGCTATCAATATGGCCCTTTTCCTTGAGTAAAAATATAACCTAGTACAGTCTATTGGTCTAAAAAGGAAAGGATATTATTTGTGTCCATCAGTCATCAAAATACGATTCATCATCACGTGATAGGTGCATGATGTGAAAGAGAAGTTCCCAAACACACTTGACTAATGTGGATGTCAATATTCGTATTTGTCTGCCTCTGTAATGAACTTGAGTGGACCTTGTTGTCAGGGTACATGTATACATTTCTATCAATAGATCAAATGACACCTCAAAATAAACCAATCGCTCCCAAAATAGTGTCTGGCACCACCACTCACAATTGGCAAATAATCATTACTTATTTTTCTGTCTTTGAGGGACCGAAATAGCTGCATACAGGAATTTATATCCCTCAAAATCCAATAATCAGAATGCAGATTCCTGAGGTTGTGTGGCAAGGCCTGGTTCAGACAGACACAACATGTAATTGCCGACTAGAATTACTGACTTGACTTGAAGAAGGATGCCATGCTTGTCATCACGCACATTATGTAGGTTCTACAACTGCTTAATGTGATGACTTCAGACCTGTTTTAATTACAAGATGCAGACAGTATGTGTGAATTGGTAAGTTTGTTTGCTTGTTTGTTTGTTGTTTAACGCTGCATTCAGCGATATTCCAGCTATATGATGGCAGCCTGTAAGTAATCAAGTCAGGGCCAGAAAATCTGATGATTGATATTGTGAACAGCGATGACACACCTTCATCCAAGTAACGAAGCCTGACCACCCGATCAGTTTGGTCTACTCGTACAATGAATATAGGTTGCTGGGGACCAATTCCCCACAGGGGCATGAATTGGTAAGATTTGAAGCTGCTTTCAACAGTATTTCATTTGTTTGTTTGTCCGTCTTTGTTTGTTTAACACTGCACTAAACAATGTTCCAGTTATATGACAGTGATCTGTAAATAATCAAGTCTGGACCAGACAGTCCAGTGATTGATATCATGAGCATAGATCCATGCAATTGGATTACGATGAGATGCATCATTCAGGTCAGCGAGCCTGACCGCCCAATCCCGTTATTCGCCTCTAACGATAAGCGTAGTCAGCCTTTACGGCAAGCATGGGTTGCTGAAGACCTATTCTACCCTGGATCTTCACAGGTTTGAACAGTATATCCAGGTATAAGGTGGATCTGGGAGGACAGCCCAAAGACATGCAGGGTGCATTCAATTTCCACCATTGAGAAACCCAAGAGCAATAGTGTGGTGGTGATGGATCAAGAATCAGGATCAGATGCATGGGGAACTTGATCCCACAACCAGCTGATACCAAAGGGACTCTGAAAAGCAGGATTCATCAACTGTTTTGCCTTTCAGGTCAAACTGTGGATTTCTATAGAATTCACTCCATCTTCCTGAGGCAAGAGTGTCCACTAGCCTTCTTTATCAAAGTCTTGTTTCCACCCTTGCCACATCAAGCCCACTTTCCTGTGCTAAATATGATTGGACTATCGCACATTTCAATAGTCCAATCAGAGAATGTTTCACAAAATCAACATCCAAGACTGTACACCTTCATATGAAAGTGTTTTACCTCTGCCTGTCTTTGTTGACACAAATATGTCTTTTTCATTTTTTAAAGCTCCCAACGATTGCTTATGTTTCTGTGTCAGTGATGAAATCGTGAATGTTTTCGGTTTTTGATCGGCTAGGTTGTCGCCTATGCTAGTCACCATTTTTTAGATAAGAACAGCGATCTGATTGGATATCACGTTTTAATTACAAGGGGCACAACTCGTGATCTACGTGTAGTAGCCATAACATTTCTGAGTCCCATGATGGGATTCGAACCATGGACCTTCTGATCAGAGGTCGGACACCTTGTTCACATGACCAAAGAGATAAACCCCGTCAGCAAGATGACAAGGTAAGGATGTCATCTGTGGGATGACTCCACATCCTGCTACATACGCAAGGTGGCGCCAAGATGTGGCCTTGATGTGGCAAGGGTAGAAACTAGGCTTTGATATAGGCTAGTGGACACGCTTGCCTCTGGAAGATGAGGTCTCTCATGCACACACCATATGTTTCCTTGTTTATAAGGCTGTATATTCATAGATTCATAGAATATAATTCTGTTTACATTGTACATATAGCTGTTTACAGAGTATATAATGATGTGTAAATTGTATATATTTCTGTATACAAAGAACGTCCATAACAAATGATTGGTGTATCGTGATACAGTGTGTCATGATCTCGAATATCATGGCAAGGTGATGTATTGATACAAAGGAATACACATAAATAAAAGGGTAACAAGAAAAACTGTAATAAACCACTTGTACTTTCTGCCAGTTTGGACAATAGGTCTTGAGGACTTTTTCTTCAACAAATTCTAATATTCTCAATGTACCGTATTTGACGTAATAAGCGCACAGGGCGCACTCAAAATTAGAAATAGGGGGCTCTTATTGGAATATTATTTTAGTGAAAACAAACGAGTTAAAAGATCAATTTTGTGGTTTATGCTGACAGCCTGAAATGTTTATGTACGACAGATATATTTTTCCAGAATTTAATTGCCCATAATTAAGTGTGCATATAACACATGAGTGCGTATTATACGCGAATAAATAAGTCTTGTGTACATTGATCAATCGGAAGGGGTGCTAATTAGGATTGTTCACTGGCCAATATATTATCAAATATCACCGTGGGCGCTTATTAGGGCGGGGCGCTTATTACGTCGAATACGGTATTTAGTTTTCACTACTTTTTATTCCCACTTCAGATGGAAAATGTCTCCTAACATGATATGTGTCAAGTTGCCATTCACTGTAGTGTTAATCATATCGCAACCATTCCATCAAAATATGTCTCATATCCTGACAAAGTGTATCGATACAGCCCTAGTACATTATATAGACTCTTGCGTGCAACTTTATGAATTATATTACTTCTGTGTGCAACTTCTTTAATTTGTAGAATCAAATATTTTTTGCATGCTGCATTTTCTAAACATTTGGTCTTAGTTTGGAGATAATGAAATTGGGATTTGACAAATGTATGGTCTAAATACTGTTTGGGACATCCTATGGTAATTCTTTATGCCCTGACTGTCCCCGGGCTAACATAAGTCACAGCATACAGTCTGTTCTCTATGAGCGTGAGTAGTACAGTACCAGCAGTGGGTCGTTGAAGTCCAGCGTCTCCCCATTGATGATGGACACCACGAGACACGTTGCCACCACCACCAGGACCACCAGCAGAACGACATAGGGGTAGTGAGCCAGAATACGGGCATAGCTGCAAGGAAAACACACTGGGGTAAGCATGGGCACATACAACATGGATTTGTTATTCAACAGTGGACAGCCTCCATGGTCTAGCATCCTCCCGGAGGGTCAGCATTTTGATCCCTGGTCGTGCCATACCAAAAGACGTTAAAAGAAGGTAGAGGTAGAGAGGGAGAGAGAGAGGTAGAGAGGTAGAGAGAGGTAGAGAGAGAGGTAGAGAGCGGTAGAGAGAGAGGTAGAGAGAGAGGTAGAGAGAGAGGTAGAGAGAGAGGTAGAGAGGTAGAGAGAGGTAGAGAGAGAGGTAGAGAGAGAGGTAGAGAGGTAGAGAGAGAGGTGTAGAGAGAGGTAGAGAGAGGTAGAGAGAGGTAGAGAGAGAGGTAGAGAGGTAGAGAGAGAGGTAGAGAGAGAGGTAGAGAGAGAGGTAGAGAGAAGTAGAGAGAGAGGTAGAGAGATAGAGAGAGAGGTGTAGAGAGAGGTAGAGAGAGGTAGAGAGAGGTAGAGAGAGAGGTAGAGAGGTAGAGAGAGGTAGAGAGAGAGGTAGAGAGAGGTAGAGAGAGAGGTAGAGAGAGGTAGAGAGAGGTAGAGAGAGAGGTAGAGAGAGAGGTAGAGAGGTAGAGAGAGAGGTGTAGAGAGAGGTAGAGAGAGGTAGAGAGAGAGGTAGAGAGCGGTAGAGAGAGAGGTAGAGAGAAGTAGAGAGAGAGGTAGAGAGAGGTAGAGAGAGAGGTAGAGAGAGAGGTAGAGAGAGGTAGAGAGAGAGGTAGAGAGAGAGGTAGAGAGAGGTAGAGAGAGAGGTAGAGAGAGGTAGAGAGAGAGGTGTAGAGAGAGGTGGAGAGAGAGATAGAGAGAGGTGTAGAGAGAGGTAGAGAGAGAGGTAGAGAGGTAGAGAGAGAGGTAGAGAGAGGTAGAGAGAGAGAGGTAGAGAGAGAGGTAGAGAGAGGTAGAGAGAGGTAGAGAGAGAGGTAGAGAGAGGTAGAGAGAGAGGTAGAGAGAGGTAGAGAGAGAGGTAGAGAGAGAGGTAGAGAGAGGTAGAGAGAGAGGTAGAGAGGTAGAGCGAGGTAGAGAGAGGTGAGGTGAAATGGGGTTTAACGTCGCGTCCAAGATTAGTGCACTTATATAGCAACGTGCATGCATGTGTGTGTGTGTGTGTGGCTGCTTGCTCTAGTCCGGACTGATGCCGATTTATAGTGCTAGCCCACTGAGATACCATGCCGCAGTTTAACATTAATACCCCACTCAGACACAGTATACTGACTCCGAGCTGACCAGTCCTTGTTTTAGCCCCTTAATGCCGAGCGGCAGACAGGGTAACAACAAGTACCATCTTTTAATGGCAGTCTAGGTAGAGAGAGAGGTAGAGAGAGAGAGGTAGAGAGAGAGAGAGGTAGAGAGGTACCGTAGAGAGAGGTAGAGAGAGAGAGAGAGGTAGAGAGAGAGAGAGGTAGAGAGGTAGAGAGAGAGGTAGAGAGAGAGAGAGGTAGAGAGGTACCGTAGAGAGAGGTAGAGAGAGAGAGAGAGGTAGAGAGAGAGAGGTAGAGAGAGAGGTAGAGAGAGAGAGGTAGAGAGAGAGAGAGGTAGAGAGAGAGAGAGGTACAGAGGTAGAGAGAGAGGTAGAGAGAGAGGTAGAGAGAGAGAGAGGTAGAGAGAGAGAGAGAGAGAGAGAGGTAGAGAGAGGTAGAGAGAGAGAGAGAGAGAGAGAGTCTGGGTTCAAACCCTGGACATTCCACTCTCCTGGCAAATGCTCTACCACCACTGGACCACGGAGGCGGTCTCTAATGTGCAGACAATTTTCAAGTATGGATTGTTATCTAAATACAGCTGCTAAAAAGGCTACCACTTTGGTAAAATACATGACAGTCACCATCACAAACAACTGCACACTGAAGTTCACACTGGAACTATTGGTGATAGATGAGTGAGTGAGTGAGTTTGGTTTAACACAGCTTTAAACAGTATTCAACTTATATCACAGTGTCAGTTTAATGTGGGAGGAAAGACAAAATTCATGCAGGTTTCAGATATTACCACTTTGATGAAACCCACAAGCACGGGTATGGTGCTGCAAACAGAATCGAGGCGAATCGGGAGTCAAAGCCACAATCATAGGTTTCTGGCGTGCCCAAGGGAAGCAATTCTGCCCAGTGAATTGTGGCACCTTGCACGACTGGGCCACACGTAACACGCTCTCTTTTCCGAAACTTTACAGTGTGCCATTTGTTGTGCCTGACACATGAAAATGGCAGTTTGAATATCTCCTATCAATTACCATGTTACAAAAGGTTTAGACTAAGATGGGTACAGCTCTCAGCTCTAAAGCCTACTTTTACCACAACATTCTTTTATACAGCATTATAACTTTGTCACTGCCTACTTTTGTCACTGCCTACTTTTGTCAAAGCGTACTTTGAAATGAAAAGATTGGACCAGTTTCGAGTTTTACGGAACAGCACACACTTCCACAAAAAATAATTATACATATAATCTATCATTTGTCAGTATCTTTGTAAAACAAATTCAAAACTTTAAGGAAACCAACCTCATTTATAAACCCTGACAACATGCCTTCTTGTCACACAATCAAATCAGATATAACTCTACATTACATACATCTTTAAAGAAAGTCATGAATGTGGAACATTTGCACAATTTTGTCACATAAATGCACAACTATCATAAACTTATCTAGGCCTGCAAAGAGAACAAACAGAATCAACTTTGCTAGAATCTCTTGCTAAAAACCCTATATTTTAAAGTACACAATGGAATTCATGATTATCCGCGATGACCTACATATTGCAAACATTATTCAGTTTCCATTTTTGAACCCAATACCATCTGTCAGGACAAGGGCTATTAGCATAATTCAATGTTTTCACAAGAAACCAACTGTCAAATTACAGGACTAAATCGGTCAACTACCTCAAAGAGATTCCTGAATATCTACTCGAACATGGAACGTCAAGCCACAGAATCAGACTTTGATCTTTGAAATACCATCACCAAGTTTTAAAGATTATAAATACTTCTGGGCCCATGACACTTGAAGGAATCACTCTTCTTTGTATTTCCCTGGCTGTCCCATTGACACCCCCCTGTCAAGGGCCACTACTCCAACACTGCAGAATATTGACCAAGTACAAGAGGCTTCTAATTTCTTTAAAAGCAAAATAGACATTCTTTTGCAAAGTGGGCAACATTTCACATTTTTCAATTTTCTTTCCTTTGACAGTTTCAATTAAAACCTCCGCAACCACTTGGAACGTTCATTATATAATGCTTTGAGAAATTTTGTTCAACATTTTTCTTGAAATTGAATTTCAGTCAGAGTTTGGAGTACTTGAAATTCTTTCAAGCAGAATTAGGTGCTACAAGCTTTTACTTTTTAGTCTTCATGACAAATTCTGAGTGCGGGTGTACCAGCTTGATGAACATTTGAACATGAATTTCTCCTTTGGTTAAGGAGAATATTTTCTTCGGTGTCCAATATGTGGAGTTATTATGAAACTGTTTCTTATTCTAAGAAACACTTAGAAGAAACACTTTCAGGAAACACACCTGTAAGGATCCCAGGTTAGAATAGATCCGCAGCAATCTATGCTGGATGTAAGAGGTGACAAAATGAATCGATGGTTAGTGACTTGGTTGATTGCGTGTCATCAACTACAAACAGTGTGGATCATCACATACAAACTGTGTGGATCATCACATACAAACGGTGTGGATCATCACATACAAACGATGTGGATCATCACATACAAACAGTGTGGATCATCACATACAAACGATGTGGATCATCACATACAAACAGTGTGGATCATCACATACAAACGATGTGGATCATCACATACAAACAGTGTGGATCATCACATACAAACGATGTGGATCATCACATATAAATGGTGTGGATCATCACATACAAACTGTGTGGATCATCACATACAAACGGTGTGGATCATCACATACAAACGGTGTGGATCATCACATACAAACGATGTGGATCATCACATACAAACTGTGTGGATCATCACATACAAACGATGTGGATCATCACATATAAATGGTGTGGATCATCACATACAAACTGTGTGGATCATCACATACAAACGGTGTGGATCATCACATACAAACGGTGTGGATCATCACATACAAACGATGTGGATCATCACATACAAACAGTGTGGATCATCACATACAAACTGTGTGGATCATCACATACAAACGGTGCGGATCATCACATACAAACGATGTGGATCATCACATACAAACAGTGTGGATCATCACATACAAACGATGTGGATCATCACATACAAACAGTGTGGATCATCACATACAAACGATGTGGATCATCACATATAAATGGTGTGGATCATCACATACAAACTGTGTGGATCATCACATACAAACGGTGTGGATCATCACATACAAACGGTGTGGATCATCACATACAAACGATGTGGATCATCACATACAAACTGTGTGGATCATCACATACAAACGATGTGGATCATCACATATAAATGGTGTGGATCATCACATACAAACTGTGTGGATCATCACATACAAACGGTGTGGATCATCACATACAAACTGTGTGGATCATCACATACAAACGATGTGGATCATCACATACAAACTGTGTGGATCATCACATACAAACGGTGCGGATCATCACATACAAACGATGTGGATCATCACATACAAACAGTGTGGATCATCACATACAAACGGTGTGGATCATCACATACAAACTGTGTGGATCATCACATACAAACTGTGTGGATCATCACATACAAACGATGTGGATCATCACATACAAACAGTGTGGATCATCACATACAAACGGTGTGGATCATCACATACAAACTGTGTGGATCATCACATACAAACAGGTGTGGATCATCACATACAAACAGTGTGGATCATCACATACAAACTGTGTGGATCATCACATACAAACTGTGTGGATCATCACATACAAACTGTGTGGATCATCACATACAAACGGTGTGCATC